CTGATTGGCAATGGTATGAGTGCAAAAGAAGCTGGAGATTGTGTGCGGATGATGGTGAGGAGGAGCAGAGCTTGCGCACGCTTGGCACCCCTGGTTTATTGCAAAAACATGCGCATCCTCCCTGTTTGCGCACATTCAAGCAAGTTTATTGCACCCCACTGACATGTCAGGGGTCACTGATGGCGCACAGCAAGCACATTCTACCAGCACTGGAGTGACCACTGACATGTCAAGGGTCACTGTGGCAGCAGGCTGTGCGCATACCAGAGGCTCTGCAAGGGCGCAAATTTATCCGCTGCATACGGAATCTTGCAGGCGTACATGTTTGCGCTGCTAGGCCACCGCTCTGCAGTTTCCACAGGCCACCACTGACATGTCAGGGGTCACCCAAAGCGCAAAGAGAGCGACATCTACCAGTAGTACAGTCACCACTGACATGTCAAGGGTAACTGACACTACAGTCATTGTGCGCGCATAGCATTGCTGTGCGGCACAGGAGCTTCTTCACCGCATCTAGGAGTGGGCTAGGGACGTACTCACCTGCTAGAATGCCACTCTGCAATGCCCACAGGCCACCACTGACATGTCAGGGATCACTGTAACAGCAAGTCTTGCACTCAATGTGCGCACTGTAGAGCATGAATTGGTGATCTTTTCACAGTCTCATGTAAAATGTACTTGACACATCACTGCCTGGCCCTGACCATCACCCCAATGCGCACACCAAAGGCCCTGGTACACCAGTCTGATCACACTATTGATGTCCCACCCAGGGACATTGTTGATGTTGACTCTATCGGCTGCCCTGTGCGCATTATGGACGCGTCAGAGCGCGCATCAGTCACGTGCATATGCATGCCTGAGGGCGCGCGCACAAGGTCACGTGCATTTGGTCACGTGGCCTGAGCTCTTGCGCCAAGACCAACTTCAGTTGCTCATATCTCAGTCAATATTGCTCCAATTACGCCCAAACTTTGCATGGCAGACTTTATTGTACTCCTCTAGGGGCTGCTGCTTTAGGCCTGCAATTTTTCCTTGTGCTCATTGACCTCACCAGCCAAATGTTGGGGTTTTGCATGGTTTTTGGTGATTTTCTCAACAACCAAGCAACTCTGATGGGTGTCACTGGCATTATTTTGAAGTGCTCTTTGGTCTCTACAAGAAAGTTGCTCTAACTCAAAACAGACTTTCGTGGGACCCCCTTGTAACCCTAACCCTAACCCTAACCCTAACCCTAACCCTGTCGCCTAGCGCCTCGCGCACTCCTTCCTCCTGGGAGCGTCTCAGGACCATCGAGTCGCTCCTCTCCAACCTCCAACGCACCACCGTCAAGCAGAAACGCAAGCTCGACGCATTGCGCAAAGCGGCTGAAACATCGGCCGCTAGCGACGCCTCGGCTCGCCGAGACGCTCGTCTCCGACACACGGAGACAGGGCCGACTCATCGTGTGGGGGCGCATTTGCGCCCTGTCGACCCTGTCGGCCGACCCTTTGGGGTCTTCGGTCGGAGCGCGTCTCCAGCTCCTGGCCCCATTGGGCTAGCCGCTTCCAGACCCGTGCCACCGCACATTTGGCTGGGTCTCACCGGTCGAACCGCTCCCGCAGCCGACCCTCTTCCCTGTCAAGCCGCCGCCGCCCAGCCCAAACCACTCGACAAAGCAGCCTCGAGTGAGAACGGTGGCTATTATGACGACGTTCTTTCTTTGTTCTCGTTCCCCTCCAAAGGCGTCAAGATGGAGGCACCGAAGTGGGAAGGTCAGCCCAAGACCTTCGAGGACTTCATTTACCACGCGGAAGTTTACTTCAGCGTGAACCAAATTCCTCGAAAGGCCCGACCTTCTCTGGCCATCACCTTCCTGAAGGGTCGTCCTCGGGATCTGATGGTCACTATGGTGACTGCCTACCGCCGACAACAGGAATCCCTGCGGTCAAGCGGGTCGGCAGTGCTGCACGTGGACCCTGCTCCTCTTCGGAAGTGGTCGTCGTTCATCGACCATCTCCGCACCATGTTCCTGGTGAACAACCCCTCGGCCGAGGCCATCCGCAAGCTGCAAGAAATGCGGCAAACGGGCATGGTCAGCAATTACGTCTCTCGGTTTCATACCCAGGCCGCAATCGCCTAGGTCGTCGATGAACAGTGGCTCAAGCTGCAGTTCATCCAGGGGCTTCGCGAGGATTTCCAGCACACGTTGGCCTACGCTTGTCATTATTCCCTGTCGGATTATATGACCGAGGCGCTCGACTGGGACAGCATGCGTGTGCGGCACCCGTCGAGGTTACCGTCGGCCAGCACC